TTCAATTTCACAATTTTTTCTAAAAATGTCCTCGAAAATATTTCTAAAAATCTAACTTTTTCTCTACTTGTCCCTGAGAAATATTATCTAAAATATCCATTATTAATACCCAAAACTTTTTAAAATTGAAAACATTTTAAAAATCCACGATAGTTTTTTTAATAGCTTTTAAAAAATGAATATAAAATTACAATTAGAAAATATGGTTTCCATACGGACTACTAAATTATAATAAATATTCTTTTTAAGGGCTCTTTTTCCAATAATCCTGGATTTTTTTAAATAATTGGAATTATTATAAAACCTTTTGAATTATTATTTTGTTGCACCGTGTAACATATTACACTTGTCATGCATTCTCTTTTTCTATCAAAAAAAAAGAAATTGTCTTTGGAGAGAACATGCGCTGCTTGTCTGCTATAGTTTTTTCCCTCAACTATCTCTCTCACTTCTCATCACCCGCCTGTCGCCGCTAAATAATATGCTTTGTTTACGCCAATCATGTCCTTATGCAGTTTGTGCATTTTTAGTGCAAAATCGGCTCTGTGCAAACGTAGACATTCCCAAATTAACTTTCGCTGGCTGTGGTGTGTTTTGTTTCGTTCCTTTTTTGGTTGCATTTTCCAAATTAAAAAAAAAAAAAAACGCCAAAGAAAAAGTTATCTCCCGGGGTCTTAAAAGTTCGTTTAGTTTTTGACTACCTGGCGCGTTAAGGGTGCCATTGGCCAGAGTAACCGAAATAAGTGTTGTCACCCCACATGGATGCCAGTGCTACGTGTTTGGCTGTCATAAAACAAAGTTGATGTAATTCTTTTTGTTAGTGCGATTTCGTTTTTTTTTTTCTTTCTCTTATCCTTGGCGGTAAAACGGTGGGTTCTTTCTAAGTTTTCATTATTTTCCGTCATCATCGTCATAGGAGAATACATCAATAAGTAAGTACGACGACAAGTTACCGGTGTTCATGTAGGTGCCACTTAGTGCATGTGTGTGTGTTGGTGTGCTTGTTTGTATTACATAAACACTTGACAATCATTTTTCTCGAATATCCGCTTAAATCCCCACTTTAAGGGTCACGTGTCAGAGCAGCCAAAAAAAAAACCATGGCAGCCTCATCATGGATTATGAATCTAAATTTACTCTGGTGTGCGTGTGTATCTGTGTGAAAGTATTAGTAAGTGTGTCTATAAGTGGCTGGCTGGTTCATTTATTTTGTTTTGGCACTAGCAATTGGCTGGCTGGCTGGCAGCATTTACAGACCACAAAATTAAATGTCAACCATATCCTTTGGGCAAATTTTGTGTTTTTGGTTTATCGTTTTTTTTTTCTCATCTGCTGAGAGGTTAACCTGTCGTGATTAATGATAAACGCTTGTTAATGTGATTCTATGGCTGTTATGATTGTCATAGAAAAGTCATTTAAATCAATAAAAATATCAGAATAAATCGAGCAATAATCGATTATTTTTTCAAAGGCCTAAACTAGCAGAAGTCGTGGAATTTTCAAAGAACAAGCAAAACCATAATCTTCAAAGGACTATCAGAGTTATAATCTTGGAATTTTTTCAAAGGACAATCAGGGTTTCACTCATTTATTCTTCTTTTTTTTTTTTTTTGAAAGGCTATCAAACTATGAACATGGATTATTTGGAAAGAGTATTAATGTCATAAAAAATCATTTAAAAAATCGGCGAATATTACCCTAATGGCCCTGGATAAAAGTATTTGACAATTTCATTTTGAGAGTTAAGGTCACACAGAGCTAAACTTTTAAATTTTTTAAAGGGCTATCAAGGCTATCTTCTTGTATTTCTTTATTTATTTACGTTTTTAAATCTAGGTTCGTAATCAGTTATTTTTCAAAGGACTATCTGAACTATAATTGAGAATTTTTCCAAGGACTACCTATGCTATAATTGAAGATTTTTTCAAAGAACTAACAAAACACCAATTGTGGTTTTTTGTTTTGCAAGAATCCAAAGGAAAAAGTTGCGGATTTTTCAAAGATTTATCAAAACTAGAATACTGGATTTTTAATCGACTATTATATGGGACTTTTTCAAAGGACAGTTAAAATTGACTTATTTACAAGCTGAATAATTTATAAGGACTATCGGAACTATGATTGAGGACTTTTTAAAGGACTGCGAAAACTATAATATCGGGATTTGTTCAAGGGATATAGTCTTGGATTTCATGAATTTTTAAAATATTATTTAAAGACTCTAACATTTAGACCTTGAAGGACGTGTTATTTAAATCTAAGATTTAAAGATAATTTCCAAAGGTCTTTTAGGTACTGAAACGTGAATTTCCAGAAGACTTTCAGGGTTTAATACTGGATTTCTAAAGATTTTTTTCAAAGAACTATCAGAGCTATGAACGTGGATTTTTTAAAGTTTTTTTGGCAAAGGACTATCAGAGCTGTGAACTTGGATTTTTTTTTAACATTTTATTCAAAGGACTATCAGAGCTGTGAACATGGATTTCTTTCAAAGAACTATCACAGCTATGAATATGTTTTTTTTTTAAGATTGTTTTTTCTTCAAAGGATTATTAGAGCCATGATCGTGGATTTTTTATAGATTTTTTTTCAAATGACTATCAGAGCTGTGAACTTGGATTTTTTTAAAGATTTTTCAAAGGACTATCAGAGCTGTGAACATGGATTTCTTTCAAAGAACTATCACAGCTATGAATATGTTTTTTTTTTAAGATTGTTTTTTCTTCAAAGGATTATTAGAGCCATGATCGTGGATTTTTTATAGATTTTTTTCAAATGACTATCAGAGCTGTGAACTTGGATTTTTTTAAAGATTTTTCAAAGGACTATCAGAGCTGTAAATATGCATTTTTTAAGATTTTTTCAAAGGACTGTCAGAGCTGTAAACTTGGATTTTTTAAAGATTTTTTTCAAAGGACTATCAGAGCTGTAAACGTGGACTTTTTAATGATTTTTTTCAAAGGACTATCAGAGCTGTGAAATTGGATTTTTTAAAGAATTCTTTTCGAAGGAGTATAAGAGCTATAAACGTGGATTTTTGAAAGTTTTTTTTTTCAAAGGACTATCAGAGCTATGATCGCGGATTTTTTAAAGATTTTTTTTTCAAACGACTATCAGAGCTGTGATCGCGGATTTTTTAAAGATTTTTTTCAAAGGTCTATCAGAGCTGTGAACTTGGATTTTTTAGAGATTTTTTCAAAGGACTATCAGATCTGTGAACGTGGATTTTTTAAAGATTTTTTTTTTTCAAAAAAAATTGAAAAAAATTGAAAATTTTTTTAATTTTTTTTTACAAGGACTAAATGTAAATTTTTAAATTAAGGACTAAATGTGGATTTTCAAAAGAATTTTTTCAAAGGACTAAACGTGGATTTTCAAAAGAATTTTTCAAAGGACTAAACGTGGAATTTCTAAGGAATTTTTCAAAAGACTAAATATGAATTTTGGGAAGACTAGACGTGGATTTTCAAAAGAATTTTTTCAAAGGACTAAATATGAATTTTTAGAGGATTTTCAAAAGAATTTTTTCAAAGCACTAAGTATGAATTTTCGGAGGACTAAACGTGTATTTTCAAAAGACTAAATATGAATTTTCAGAGAACTAAACGTGGATTATCAAAAGAATTTTTTCAAAGGACTAAAGCTATTTTTTTCCATTGACTAAACATGGATTTTTTTGAAATAACCTTTTCCAAGGACTAAACGTGATTTATTTCGAAATAGATTATTCCAAGGAATAAACCTAGATTTTTTCAAAGCGCTATCAGAGCTGTAAACGTGGAGTTTTTAAAAAAAATTTCCAAAGGATTGTCAAAGTCGAAAACGTAGATTTTTGAAGATATTTTCAAAGACTTTCAAGGTAGAAAACTTGAATCTTCTAAAGAAGTTCTAAAAGGATGGATTTTTTGGATTTTTAAATGATTTTTAGAATCAAATGATTAGGTTATCAGGGCCCACATCCACCTTGAAACACCATATTTCGGGATTTTTCAAAAAAGGGCTTCCAATGACTTACTGAAGACCATAGGGAGGAGCTTGAAATGCACGTCCCTCATATCCTGTTGTGTGTTATATGTTAGTTTTTTTCCTACATTTCCATTGTGTGTCTCAATGGCATTATCCTTCCATGCCACTGTTGTTGTGTTTTTTTATTGTTGACAATAAAAATCGAATTCGAAACGTACACCATCAACACTATTACAATAACAATTCGATATGCTCTTCTTCGTAAGAGGAGGATTTCGTGACCGGAAATGGCAACCAAAAGCGTAACGTGTAACAGTTCTTTTGTATCTAGTTTTATATTTATAACTTAAGTGCCATGTTTACAACAGAACGAGAGAGACAAAATTGAGACGAAAGATTCTATAATTCTGTGGCAAAAAGACCGGAAAATGGCCATGTGCCCCTGCAAATTGAGACAATTACAGGCAATGTGACACAAATATGGACAGCTAATTTAGATTTCATTTGCCATTAGCATAACTTGTTTTGTGAGATGCTCCGCTACAGATAGAAAACTTGACAGACAAATGACAATGACAGTGGCAATGAAATGCAATTGGCAAATAGGCATCAAGTTCAAGGACATCGACTTGTACACTTAAAAGTAAGATTTGTGTTTTGGATTTTGAATTTTTTATATGAATACGCAATAAAATAAGAAATAATAAAAGAGGAGGTTTATATCCTTGAAATCAGTGCATAAGAAATGGAAATACTATCAAATTATTAAGGGTATGTAAGGGACAGATTCTGAAAGATTTTTTCCCCAAAATATATGTCACAAAATTCACACCAGACTTTACTTAGAAAAATCTCTTAGACTCATGAAAACGCTTGTGTGACTTGAATTCCTGTTACATTTCCATCATGTCCAAGTAACAGAAAATCCTAGGGGTTTTTCAAAATTTATTTGTTTTTTATTTATTTATTTAATTTTATTGTGGGTCTTTCACATTAACATTTAATTAATAATACTTTGTTGTTTTTCTTTACAGTGACAACCGCTCCACTGGCCATGGTTGTTGTGCCGGAGACATCCTATTCAAGTAGTGAAGGTGAAGAAGATTTCTATGATGCGAATGATGACCCATTCACAAGCATCGTCAGTTCACCGGTTGGATGGTAAGTTACCTTGATTTTAATTCCGAAACGTATCCCAAAGTGATCCGAGGATGAAGATTTTCATGGATTTTTTAAAGATTTTTTCTGAAGGACTAAAAAGGGATTTATTTGAGGACTTGTCTCAAGGAATAGTCATTTATTTTTCAAGAATTTTAAGAGCATAATTAACGTGGATTTTTAAGAAAAATTCCAAGGAACTATCAAGGCCATTTGGATTAAAAAAAAAAAATATTCTAAGAGACTATCAGAGCCATAAATGTAGATTTTTTAAAGAAAATTTCCAAAGGACTATCAAAGACATAAACGTGGATTATTTAAAAGAATTTTTCCAAAGGACTATCAGAAGCATACGTAGATTTTTTAAATAACAAGGGACTATCAGAGCTAAAAAGCGCGGATTTTATTTAAGATTTTTTTCTAAGGACTTCACACAAACAAAACGTAGATTTAAAAAAAATCGAGGGACCACAAAGCGTGTTTTTTAAGAATTTTTCCAAAGGACTATCAGACCTACAAAACTTAAATTTTTTAAGAATTTTTCCAAAGGACTACCAGAGCTAAAAAATGTGGATTTTTTAAAAGAATTTTTCCAAAGGACTGTCAGATCCATAAAACTTAAATTTTTTAAGATTTTTTCCAAAGGACTACCAGAGCTACAAAACATGTTTTTTTTAAAGAATTTTTCCAAAGGACTGTCAGATCCACAAAACTTGAATTTTTAAAGAATTTTTCCAACAGACTATCAGACCTACAAAACTTGATTTTTTTAAGAATTTTTCCAAAGGACCATCAGAGCCACAAAACGTGGATTTTTTAAAGAACTTTCCCAAAGGACCATCAGTGCCATAAACGTTGATTTCTTTAAAAATGTTTCCAAAAGACTACCAGAGCCATAAACGTAAATTTTTTAAAGAATTAATTGCAAAGCAGGTTTTTTTATCAGAGCCACAAAACGAGAATTTTTTAAAGAATTTTTCCTAAGGATTATCAGAGCCAAATCGTGCATTTTAAAAGAATTTTTGCAAAGGATTAGGAGAACGTGGATTTGTTCAAAGATTTTTTTCCAAAGGACTATCAGAGCCACAAAATGTGGATTTTATTTAAGAATTTTTCCAAAGGACTATCAGACCTGCAAAACGTAGGTTTTTTTCAAATATTTTTTAAAAGGACTATAAGAGCCATAAACGTGAATTTTTTCCAAAGGACTATCAGAGCCAAAAATCGTTGATTTTAAAAGATTTTTTCCAAAGGATTATCAGAGCCAAATATTCTGGATTCTGAATATTCTGAATATTTTAATCCAAAGAACTATCAGAGTCACAAAACGTGAATTTTTTAAAGGATTTTTCCAAAGGACTAATGTACATTCCTCCAGTTAAATCATTTCGAAATTTTCTATTTAATGAAAATTATTTTCCAGGAAACATCCCACCAAAACTTGGCGCCCAAAATTAAAATTATGATGACATACACATGAAAAAAATCACTCATTTTAATTGTAATCTCATTAGTGCTGAAACAACAACTGAAACTGAAATACCATCTACTCCCCTATTTTCATCAGCACAAAGTTTGCGGTCTACAACGTTGTTGGGGGCGTGTGCTTATTTGTGGCATTCGTCCCTTTTTTTGCAATGTTACAACATAACGTGTGCTGTTTGTTTTCCTCCTTTTTTTGCCGGCAAAATTTCATGCAGGACTTATTGTTCTCTTCATTCCCTTTCCCCCTACGCTAATCCCACCACATAAAATAGTTTGGTGTAATAACACCATTAGAACGAGAAAAATGAAATATGGTATCATTTCATACAAACAATTTTCTTGGGCACACAACACAACTGTGTAATGAAGCAACAACAATGCAGTCCTTTTTTTTTTTTGTTGGTTAGGTGTAAGACAACTCCGGGGATTGTTTGTTTGTGGGAAAAGATATGGTCTCCCATCTGCCATGCGCATTTTGTATTCAGGAGTGTAATAGTAGCACGTCATGCTTCTCTTAATATGCCAAGGATTCAGAATACTATTGGAGATGTTAGGGATCCAATAACCGGGTCTACATTTTGAAATTTAGCAATTGTCAAAAACAATAAAATTCGTTAAAAATTCTGTTAAAATCTTAAAAATACCGAGTATCGCTGTTATGTTAGGGTCTATACGACGACATGGACCTGCATAGATAACTTTTGTCATAAGCCATTACAATACTCAAATGCAAAACTTAAAAAAAATCGGTGAACTTACCGAATATCGAGGGGTAGCGTTATATGGGGACTATACGAAGACGTGGACCTGCACAAACAATTTTCTGTCTTAGGCTGTAGTATCCATTACAAAATTTAAATACCAAACCAAAACCAAAAAATTCCGGTGAATAACGTCCGGAAATAACGCTAAAATCATCAAAATACAGAATATCAGGAGCTACCGTTATATTGGTGTATACGAAGACGTGAACCTGTGCAGACACTCTCCTGTCATAGGATGTAGCGTCCATTCCGAACTTCTAATACCAAATTTGAAACAATTCTGGTGAATAATGTCGCTAAAATCATCAAAATACCGAATATCGGGAGGTACCGTTATATAGGGGCTATACCAAAACGTGGACCTACATGGCCCATTTTCAATACCAAAAGCCCTGCAGACATAATATACATTTGAGTAAAATGTTATCAATCTACTTCAATTCGTTCGGAAGCTAAAGCGAATTCCACAGACGGACAGACGAACGGACATCGCTAAATCGACATAGAATTTTATGCTGATCAAATATATATATACTTTGTGGGATCTAAAATGAATATTTCGAGGTGTTACAAAACTACTACTTAAATGACAACCTCTATATGGGACTATACGAAGACGTAGGCCTGCTTACGATTTTTTGTCATAGGCTGTAGTACCCATTACGAACATCAAATGTGAAATTTGTTAAAATTCCGGTGAATATGTCGCCAAACTCATGAAATACCGAATATGGGGAGGTCGATGAAGACGTGGGTCTGCACACGAATTTTTTTGCTATAGGTTGTAGTGCCCATATAGATCTTCCAATATGAAATTTCAAACGATGCTACCGTTATATGGGGCTATACGAAAACGTTGACCGACATGACAGATGGGCATCGCTAGATCGTCTCAGAATTTTACACTGATCCAGAATATATATACTTTGTAGGGTCTATTATGAAGATTTCGAGGAGTTACAAACGGAATGACAAAGTTTATATACCCTTCATAGAATGGTGGAGGCTATAAAAACATAATTTTGATCCTAAAAGTATGCATCACAAATATAAATTGGAAAATCTTTATTTCAGTCTTTGAGAAATGATTTTTTCGATAAATGCCATATTTTTTGCTTCAAACCCCGTTTTTCATTATGCCCCTTAAAGTATGCAATATATATTATGAAATTTAATATTTATTCAATTTCCAAAGATACGCCCTAATGTCCTTGGACCCAAAAACCGGGTTCTTTTTCTTTGTAAGTTTCTCTTAAATTTCATAATTACTCCTTGCTCTCTTTCACATTTTCGTAAAAAGGATGCATTTGAGCAACAAACACGCTCGTCGCTATTCCATGCTTACAATTCGGGGCCCTAAACAACTATGAGAATGACATTTAAGAACCAGCCAACATTACAACGAAAATAATTGAACGACACACTTGTCGTGTACGGTTGGCGAAAACGAAACAAAAACGAAAGCAAGCAACAAAAAAGTAAAATCCATTTTAAGCCCATGTGTAATAATCCAAATGAGAAAAAAGCAAAAACTAAAACAACAAATTTAAAATTCATAGAGTGTTGAAAACCCCCATTCAGATTTCATTTTTAAGAGTTGAATAACCAAAGCAAAGAAAAAAACGTAACACTCAAAAATAGGCAACTATTGCAAATGGGATGGAAATCTTTAAAGATCTACAAATTCATTGCCTAATTTTAGGCTATATTATATGTGATGTGAGATGAAAAGGATAATATGAAAACAAAATATTGATTGTGGAATACAATGGAAATCAAACAAAGAGGAAAAGTGCAAAGTAATCTAGGAAAATTGAAAAGAAGGCTAAAATAATTCCCAAGGAAATTTACAATCAAAAAAAAAATCATATTTAATATTAAAGTCTTAGAAAAAACACTAAAAAAACAATTGTTTCGGTTTCTTATAATGCCAAACAGTTAAACAGATTCTACCGTCCCGTCTGAGATTTATGATAAATCAATGTTTTATTCTGCGTCTTATAACAACTCCTAAAACTATACTATAGAATAAGCCACGAGAATCAGTGCCACAGCATATACACCAAAAATAAAAGAGGAGCAGAAAAAACAACAAAACCAACAACACTGTTCATCGTCAAATAAATAAAACTGAAGCTAAAACACCAACAACCATGTTTAGAAAGTGGGTTAAACGTGTAAGCTTAACGTAAGTAGAGTACGGTACCATAACACACCACCCCATCTGGTGGTCATGGTGGGATTGATACACAAAATTAAAGTTTTCGCAATTTTCCATGAAAAACCACTTAATTCTAACATATTTTACATATCCATGTGTGTACATATGTATGACAAATTTCTTGGCACACATATTGACACCCCCTTCACCCCTCTCCCCCCAACTTTGTTTTTAACGAGCTGTGTGCTCGCTCTAATATCCATGACATTTATGACTCTTACCCATTTGATTTCCTGTCCTTCTCAAATCATGGATATAATGTTCCATTTTAATGCTTTTACAGATTTTCACATTATGTCCTTAAATGTTATGACAATTAAGGAACATTTAATGTGTTTGTGTGTGTGTGTGTGTCTACTGAACAATGGGGGGCTGTTGATTCTCTAAGCTTCTCGATGACAATGATGCGAAAAATTATTATTACTGTTGACATATTGCTTCATGTTTGATTCATTGACATCAATTGTTGATATTAAACGCTTTGGATATGATGACCATAGCTTTCTTCAACTCCTTTCACGTAATTTTCAAAA